CAGATAGCTGTAACTGTGAAGCTGTGAGACTGGCAGTGAGAAAGTAAAGGTAATCACTCCAGTACATAGCAAATGTGCACAGTTTTTTTTTTTTGTTTGTTTTTGTTTGTTTTGTTTTACTCTAAGCTATGTCTGTTCATAGTGCTCGTCAGCACCATGATAAATGTGAGAAGTGCAATGCAAGTCTCTAGGTTGAAAAAAATCAAAAAGACTGGAAACATATCCTTGACCAGATGTACCCTGTAGAAACTCATAAGCATGACTAAGCATTTAACAGTCTAACTAGACATCCTATCTCCACTAAACATTTCTAATACATAGTACATAATACATACAATATCTATCTGACTAAAAATACCTAACAACTGCATAAACCTATAATTGATGTAATTTCGGGACTATATCAAAAACCAATAGCTAGAATCAAAATAAATGGAGACCTCACTGAGTCATTTACATTAGAGAGGGGAAACCGTCAGGGATGCAATTTATCGCCACTCCTCTTTGCCTTATTTATTGAGCCGCTAGGCCAATGGATTAGGCAGAGGCAAGATATTATGGGGGTGAATGTGGAGGGGGTAGAACAAAAATTGGCATTATTTGCAGACGACCTAATATTAACCATATGCCAACCAATGCAATCTCTGCTTAAGATTGTGAAGATACTGGAAGGGTCTTGACCCAGGGTCAAGTATAAAACCCTACAATTGGAAAAAGAGGAAGGAGCCTTCCATCTTTGGAAGAGTATTATTATGCTGCCCAGTTGAGGCCACTGGTGTGCCTGTGCTCTCCAGTTTATGCAGCAGTGTGGAAAGATGTTGAGGGAACAACAGTTGAAGGAATACCAATTAAGGCTTTAGTAGCCGACACAAAATTGCAGACAGAAATCAATATACAAAACGAGCACATATCTTATACGATGTTAACAGCGTGGCATGAAACAGTTAAAATATGTAATTTGGAAGACTCGTCCAAAATTTTGCGATGGTGTGCATATGACTCGGAGTTCATCCCAAGCAAATATGACGACAGGTTTAAGAACTGGATTTCAAAAGGATTAACCAGCTATAATTAATTTGTCCAAAAGGGGACACTGCAAACCTTTGACACCCTGAAACATAAATATGGGTTGAGCTTCGAGGACTTCTTCAGATACCTACAGGTTAGACACTATTTTAATGAGAATATCAAAGTGCCCTTAGCCGACCAGGGATTCCTTCAAACATTTATTTCACTAACAAAATCATTGTCACCCACAAAAATTATTTCTAAATTATACAACAGCATTCAGCAGAGTAAGAGGAGGAACACATATTACATAAAAGAGAAGTGGGAAAAAGAAGGAGGGTTAACTATCACAGAGGAGAATTGGAAACACGTATGTCAGATGCAATGGGCTTCAACGGAATCGAACATTTGGCACGAATCTTTTTTGGAAAAATATCAGATTTTTCATTACCCCTGCTCAAAAAAAGATATCAAGGAACTGGAGATGCTTGTTGGAGATGTGGCCGCAAAGAGGCGAATCACTTCCGTATCTTTTGGAATTGTAAAATTGTTCACAAATACTGGTCTGAGATCCATGAACATTTACAAAACATATTTTCAATTACCTTACCATTAACATTTGAAACCATGTATGTATCTGGGTAATATAGTAATTGATGGGTTTAATAAGAAGGACAAGAAATTACGATATATTCTGCTGGCCGCGAGCAAAAAAGTTGTCACACAAAGATGGATCAAACCTGAACAACCAACAACCGATGACTGGATGGACGTCATACAAGAGATGTATTCAATGGAAAAAATGTCCTTTTCACTCAGACTGCAGAAGGACACATTTTACCAAATATGGTCGAAATGGACGGAGTATGTGAAACCTGTAAGGCCTGACTTTGTGTAAAACCACTGGGTGTCTATGGTCAGGTTCTTTGTTTGTTTGTTTTTCTGGTTTAAAAAAAAAGGGGGGGCAAACATATTGTATGGTAATGCATTGCAGATTGTACTCATTATGCAGCGTACTTTTTCAATAAAAAGTAAATTGAAAAAAAAAAAAGAAAAAAGCTTATGATGTCATTACTTCATCTCCAGTGGACAATAGCAAAATATGCCCCACGCTTCAATGGCTTCCAGCAGCAGGATTCCCAGGAGCTGCTCGCCTTCCTGCTGGATGGACTTCATGAAGACCTAAACCGAGTCCATGAGAAACCCTATGTGGAGCTGAAGGACAGTGATGGTCGGCCTGACTGGGAGGTTGCATCTGAGGTCAGTGATCACACTACGGAACACATGCTGTTTGCAAATGTCCCTCTGGGATATTGGAGGTGTGAGCTGCAGTTTGTGAAAATAATTTAGTGTACCAAACCTGAATGGGGAAAACAAAGGAAATCCATAACTATGAAGTTTTGTGTTGTACTGTCAGTATTTTGTGATTTTTTTTTCCCTGTGTTGAAAACCTGTGGGCACGGGTGGGGGTGGGGGCTCTGGGAAGGAGCAGCTGTCAGTCAGCCTTTGCTACTTGCACTTAAAGGGAATTAAGCAAATAATGATTTCCATTAACATTTACTGTCAGTCAGGGAACTATAACTACATAAATTGCTAATTTAAACATTTCAGTCATTCTAGCTGTAATGTGAGTTCTGATTAGAAATACGTGCACAAGTGACAGCTGATTCATGATCTCACTGACCTCATATGGTCAGTGGACTCTCATATCATGGACTCTCAGCTGATTGAACCCCTATCCTGTCCCCTGCTCCTCTCTGTGATCCAAGTCGAGTTTGCAGTGTAATTTTTTGTCTTTTGTCAAATAACTAAAAAGACAATAAGCAGTAGTCCCTTCACTGCTGTGCTGTGTTAGTCAAATCACAGTTTAATGATTACACAACTGTTACTTGCTTCAACCCCTTCATCGTCCTGTAATGTATGATCAGATAAATTGACGTTTAAAATGGGTGATCACCGAGAGAAGTCTGTCATCTTAATGTTACAGCCACACTGTCCCTCTTGGAAGACCAGGCTTATGTACATCACCATTTTCAATAAGCTATTTTCACTGTCCCCACCACGCTGGCTTAGTTCACATGCTGTTGCAAGTACAGAATAATATTAGTTCTTTATGCCTGTACTTTCTGTGGTTAACAGTTTATTCTTTTTTAAAGTGTTAATGTTTTACTTAATGTCTAAACACAAGACTGCCAAGTCATCAACAATTTGGTTTCAGAAATTCAGTAATGTTTTATAACCTTTAAGTAGTTATAATATACACCGATCAGGCGTAACATTATGACCACTGGCGGGTGAAGTGAATAACACTGACCATTTGTTACAGTGGCACCTTGTGTCAGCGTGTGGGGTATATTAGGCAGCAAGTGAACATTCAGTCCTCAAAGTTGATGTTTGAAACAGGAAAAATGGCCAAGTGTACGGGGTCAGAGTGACTCTGACAAAGGCCAAACTGTGATGGTGAGATGACTGGGTCAGAGCATCTCCCGCACTACAGGTCTTGGTGGGTGTTCATGGTCTGCAGTGTTTAGTACCTACCAACAGTGTCTAAGGAAGGACAAATGGTGAACTGGTGACAGGGTCATGGACACCCACGGATCACTGATGATGAGGTTGATCTACTGTAGATGAAACTTTTAACTTCCATTTGTACTTTTCAGAAAATTAAAATTTATTTGAATCTTTGTTAAAATGAGAAATACTGTACACTGGTCTCTGTGAAGCGAAAGAGTCAGAGGCTGTATTGGTGATATCACACCTAGAGCGTGTTGAATTGAATTTGTCTAAAAAATTTTCTCTAACTTGTCCTCATGACCACAGTTTTCACTCCTTTTCACTCCAGATGGTCATAATGTAATGCCTGATCAGTCTGAACTGTCACATCTTCTAGTGTCCACTGTGAAAGTCAAAGGATGAGGATAAAACAGCAGTCAGAACCTGCTAGGCTCTCTGTAAATTAGTGATGTTTCTCTGTTGATGTTCTGTTTGCTTTGTTTGTCCTTCTGGAAAGGGTTTGCAGGATTAATGGCTTGTTATCCTCCTACTATGTGTATGTGTGTCTGTCCATGCTCCTCTGCTTCATAGGCGTGGGAGAACCACCTGCGCAGGAACCGTTCCATCGTTGTGGATCTGTTCCATGGTCAGCTCAAATCCCAGGTGAAGTGTAAAACCTGTGGCCACATAAGCGCCCGCTTTGACCCCTTCAACTTCCTGTCTCTACCCCTGCCTATGGACAGCTCCATGCATCTTGAGATCACTGGTGAGGAGGCTGGAAGACTGAGACAAAGATTCTGAAACTAAATTCTTTCTTTTAATAGCACAACCTGAATCTTGTGTCATATTGTGGTGTGTTTGTAGTCATTAAGTTGGATGGTTCCACACCTGTGCGCTATGGCCTGAGGCTGAATATGGATGAAAAATACACAGGGCTGAAGAAACAGCTGAGTGAACTGTGCAGCCTGAAGCCTGAGCAGATTCTCCTGGCTGAGGTCCATAACTCCAACATCAAGGTACGGAGCCTGCTCCACTGACTATAGTGCTCAAATTGGGCCTTATTTTCATAATCATCTTTTTATTTTTTAAGTTTTGCATGTCCTGCGCAGCGCATTCCAGGGTATAACAAGCACAGTGCACGCGTATTTTGCACACACCTAGACAGGTGTGCATCACAACACGATCAAAGTGCCCACTGACTAGCAATAATGATTTAACTGTTGACCACAGACCTGGTTTTTGCTAGTCAGTGGCACAGTCACTTTGTGCATCCTCATATTAGCAATGCAGAATTTACTTAGACACGCCCCATTTTCATCCGGACACACCTGCCAGCAGTCGACAAACCGCTACTTGGTAAAAAGGCAACGTGATGTGCATGTTGTCCGCCCATCCATTTTCCTCCGCTTATCCAGAACCGTGTCGCAGGGGCAGCAGTCTAAGCACAGATGCCCAGACTTCCTTCTCTCCAGACATTTCTTCCAGCTCCTCTGGGTGAATGCCAAGGTGTTCCCAGGCTAGCCGAGAGACATAGTCCCTCCAGCCTGTCCTGGGTCTTCCCCGGGGCCTCCGCCCGGTGGTACTAAGGGTGCGCCCGGCCACCCTGCGGAGGAAGCTCATTTCAGCCGCCTGTATCCGGGATCTTGCCCTTTCGGTCATGACCCAAAGTTCATGACCATTGGTGAGAATCGGAACGTAGATCGACCAGTAAATCGAGAGCTTTGCCTTACAGCTCAACTCCTTCTTCACCACAACGGACTTGGTACATCGACCACACCGGGTTCGGGGATTGCCCGCGACAGGCATCGGAGACCTTACAGCCACAGCTCCGATTGGCTGCATCGACAATGGAGGTGGAGAATATGGTCCACTCGGACTCAATGTCTCCAACCTCCCCCAGGATCTGGTCAAAGCTCTGCCGGAGGTGGGAGTTGAAGATCTCTCTGACAGGGGATTCTGCTAAACGTTCCCAACAGACCCTCACAATACGTTTGGGTCTGCCGAGCCTGTCCAGCTTCCTCCCCCGCCATCAGATCCAACTCACCACCAGGTGGTGATCAGTTGGCAGCTCCGCCCCTCTCTTCACCTGAGTGTCCAAGACGTATGACCGGAGGTCAGATGAAACAACCACAAAGTTGGATCATCGACCTCCGGCCTAGGGTTTCCTGGTGCCACGTGTGCTGATGGACACCGTTATGCTTGAACTAAAGGACTTCTTTTCCGCTCATGGCCTGGATTTTATGTTACTAACTGAGACTTGGCTGAGGCCCGGTGAAGTGGAAACCTTCTCTGAACTTCTTCCCCCGGACTGTATGTTTTTT